TTTCAGTGTTATACCTGCATACATACGCACATATATATATATATATATATATATGTTTTAATGTGAATGCAAACCTGGATGAGTTCCATGAGAAAGTGGACATCTTTAGAATAGAGCTCAGCAGAGAGATGCTCGACAGCATGGTGAAGATCTTCAGATAAAGGGTTGAGTTCCCCTCCAATGGAGAACTTTTTCATGCGTATTTCTTCTATGTGCTCTCTCGGTGTCGCCATTTTCCGTACGGTCACAAACCCAAAGGCACAACCTTTACAGAGAAACAGAGAGCAAGCAGAGAGAGAATAAACAGAGAGAGCAAGCAGAGAGTGAACAGAGAGTCAGAAATGAGGGAGGGAAATGAACACAAACTAAAATGACAAATGACACTAAACTAAGGTTACATGTTATGAAAATGTGAAGAGATAGTGGTAAGGAAAATGTGGAGGAGGCTTTCTTTTTTGCCTTAAATTCTATTTAATTACTATTATAAGCCTATTGTATTAGTTTTTATTTCTTTTTTATTGGAAGTTCGTTAAAAATGTTCTCTTAAATAGTAGTATGATAAATAAGATAAATTATATTTTATTTACCAATATAATAAACAAATAGGCTTGTTTGAGGGTATTTTGGATAACTCAATAATCACTTTTATAAAAAATCACTTTTAAATTATTTTAAATAATTTTATGAAAAAACCCTAAGACGTGTTGAGGAAGTAAATGACAATGCAAACAGTACAGAAACTTGTCAATTCAGGAATAAAAAAAGGTGAAAAGACAAAAGAAAACAAAGCCAAACATTATTGAAATGAAAAGTAAGTAGTGTATAGAGAGAGAGAGCGAGAGAGAGAGAGAGAGTGACAAGGAAAAACATGTACGAAAAGCAACACTGTTAATGGGATTTGTACGAAAAGCAAAACTTTGGATGAGCTTTGGACGCTGATTCGACCATCTGAGTCTTTGTTTTGAATCTTTTTAAGTCTTTAAGAATCTAATAACAAACACCTTTCGTCAACCAAACGACAAAATGGAAAGACTTCGGCTCTAAGACCATCTCCAACCCTTGGGGTGGAAACTCAAATTTTGAGTTTAGCCTTCAAAAACCATCTCCAACCCATGTATTTTGGGGGGGTGGAAATTTGAGAAATCTCAAATCTTGGGTGGAATTCCAGTCCCTTTTTTGCCTGGACTGATAATTTTGTGGGCCCAAAATCTGCTTTTTTTATTATTTTTTTTCTGACTGAAGCCCATGTGCTGCACAATGTTTGCTGGGCCCAGTTTTGGTTACACTGTTTGGGCAGCAACTTTGTGCCAAAAATATGATATTGCTGGCTTGTTTTTTTTTGTTTTTTTGTTTTGTTTTGTTTTATTTTAAATATTCCAACAACTATATTTGTAATCAATAATCATGATTAATTTTAAGCAATCTCAACGGCAAAATTTAATGATTGTCGTTTATTTAAAAATGCTTAGATAATTTAAACACACTTACATAATTCAATGAAGAGTTCAAATTATTCCGGGCATACGTATGGTATTGTACTTATTTTTATTTTTTAAGTGAAATTCAATTATGTTTTGGAATTTTATTTTTTTTAGGTTAAAATGTTTAGAAAATTAAATCACGAGTGTTGAAACAAAAATAATGTCAAGAAAAATTAACAAGAAACAAAATTTAGGGGTTAATCATTCTTAAACAATTTAATAAAGTTGCGGACTCAAATTATGAGTCTACAAGGTTGGAGGAAAAAAAATTTTGAGTCCTGAAAATACATGAATAGTTGTATTTTGGAGGGTGAAAATTTGAGTTTAGCCCCAACATGGTTGGAGATGGTCTAAGAGCAGGTCCAGCGCAGGACCCAAACTGGGGGAAAGGGCCCCCTGGCGAGCCCGAGATGGCTCCAGCGCAAGAGAAGCAGCCCGATTTCGTGGTGGGTCCCATCAGCCCGAGCAAGCCCAAGGGCAACTTCTGCCTGGGCTGAAGCCCGAGTTTTGTGACGTCAGCGCTGGCATCACGCTGACGTCAGCGCACAGTAAAATTTTTTTTTTTTTTTTTTTTTTTTTTTTTAAAAAATTCGAAAAAAATTCGAAAAAATTCTGAAAAATTCTGAAATTTTTTTTTTTAAATACCAAAAAATTCTGTATTTTTTCCCTATAAATACCTAACCATTTTATTCACTTTCTACACCAAATCTTCATAAAAACTCATCTCCTTCCAATATTTTTCACTTTCCACACCAAATTTTGTACTACAAAATTTCATTTGTGCAAAAATACAAATGTCATCTTCCATCGAAGCCGGAGGGTCGTGGACAAACGTTCGAAGAGGTCAAAATCTTGGCAAACAAAAAATATAAAATATTTATTCAATTTAATGTCTTTTTATATATATATATATTTCTTGCATTTCCAATTTCTTTTTTTTTAATAGATTAGTCAAGGCAAAACCAAAAATGTTATTCGAAAAATTTTATCCAAAAATTTTATTCGAAAAATGTTATCTTAAATTTTAAATGAAAATTTTATAATAAATAGTGACACGTGACAACCGAAAATATAATCTAAAAAGCTTATCAAAATTAATAGTTTAAAGTATAAACAAATAGGAAATAAAGTACAATGAATAGTAATTGCCTTAGACTTGTCCTAGACTTTGCCCTCATGGGTGGAACCACAAATGCAAAGGCTGACACTATTCACGTGAATAGTGGCAACCCTTGCTTGCCCTTGCCTTAGACTTAGCCCTTGTGGATGGAGATGCTCTAAGTCTCTTCTCATGTACGCAGTCTACTTCAAACTAGTTTCAACCAAATATAAAAGCATATGCAACCAAATATGCATAAAAACGCAGGGATAACTGAATGGAAGGCTTACTTTTCTCCTCTCTTCTTAGACAGTCTCCTCCACTAGTTTCAGCAGAAGAGTGGGTAATTTTCGTCCTTACAACTTATGTTACTGTTTTCTTGCATTTTTTAGCCCAACTACCCAATTAAAAACAATAACACGAGTAACAATATTATTGGTGATAAATATGACACAAGTCAGGACGTACCCAACTACGTAGATGATCATGTGACTTGTGAAGGCAATATTGTTCATTTACTTATTAGTCAATGATCATTTAGTTTCGTGGCTTATAATTTTTTTAACACGAGCAATAGTCTAAACTACAGTATATGAGGAGGGGGTTCTTGTAAGACATTTACTTGTCTTAAACCACCTGATATGATCTTCTAATCACATGAGCTTCTAGAAAATAATGAATCCAACTTGTTAAATTTATGCATTAACCAAGATAGATTGTAGAATTGGGTATATGATAAAAAAGAATATTACACTTAAGAAAAACTATGGTCTAAGTGCCTGAAAAGGATTTAGATACGAGAATTATAGCGTAATTCTACGAGCAACCCTTATGAGAACGATCCTTACCAACTCAACCAACCCTCGTTTACCTGCTAAATCCATTTTTGCTAATATATATCACGAAATTCACTATCAAATACATAGGAAGGGAGAGTAAGAATATTCAAGGATGTGAAGTTCGTGGGGCCTTTGGAGAGGATGGTGGTGGTTCAAAGGAGCGTTGTGCCATTATGGTTACCAATAACAGAGAACTAGGTTTGCCTTCATTTCCAATACCTTGTACAATTTTGACTTGGTCAACTTTTACACAATTCCTTGCGTCATTGCGTTTTGATACACTCCTTCATCTCTCGATCACCTATACAAATTGTAATATAATATCAAAGTGAAAGTAAATTAAATAGCTGTGCTTAAAGTAGGAAACTAAGGTAAAGGCATGCCAGAAAACCAAGGAGGAGTATGGGATATGATCTTAACTAACTGTTTTCTTTGAGGGAGGAATAGCTCGAAGGAAAATGCTGGGGAGATCACATTTTATATAATACCTCTCCATTTTTTTCTGTTTCCTTTAGGCTTAAGTGAGTCAAGATGGAAAACTAAGTACGATTAAATACTAAATAATTGAAAGTTAGCCTTCAATTCCCTTAGAAATGAGAGGGAGAGCTTGACATACGGCCAATTTCAGACACAGAGATCATAATATGAAGTAGATTAAAAACTAACTCTATGGAGCAACAGTTAGGGTGGGTGCGTGCGTGTTCATGAGAAAACGACGCTAAAAAAGGCGTCGGTGTTCAGGAGAAACGACAGCATTCTATCTAGCATCTGTAGAAAATGCATTCGAATAGAATGTCGTGGGGATTTTGAAATTAACATTTTTTTATGAGAGAACATAAACCAGCAACAAGAATGACAATAAAGTAAATATTACATCATAATTTGCAGAATAATTAAATTAAATCAAAGCCAGAGTTATGAACTTGCTTGACCTGAAAATGGGTCGGATTCATTTGAAACAAGTTTGGGTTAACTAACTTTGAATGTTGAGCCAAGCTCAGGTTAATTGGAGTCCACACAAACACGCAGGCCCAGCTCGTCCAAAATGTCGGACCGAGTTCACCCAACTAAAACCATCCAAATATTAAACCAACCCGACTCATAATCAGTCTTCACTCACTCTCACTATCAGGTAGTTTTTTCTTTTTTGATACAAGGTGTGGGAGCAAATTTCGTTTAATTGGTTCCCACGCAAGGGATAATGGAAAGGGAGATTCAAACTTAGGACATCGGGTACAAAAATAAACGTTCTTAACAACTTGAGTACCTATATGTAGTAGTCATAAAGAAATTAAGCACTTGGTTAGAAATACTGTACAGCATAAGTGGGACTCGATTTCACTGAATATACCGGTGAGTCCTTTTGGGGTTCCTGTTGTGTAGATTTTACAACGAAACACTTATAAGGGTTAATTACAACAAATGGGGGAATGGAGAACAATGGAGAAAACAAAAAAACTTGCATTCAAAAACCAAGCTAAGCTTGACAGAGAAAACCCTAATTCAAGGGACCAAAAAAGATGATTGACATTAAATGATTCTTTCTCTACCTTCACCTTTCAAAAAACGCTCAGAAATCGGTTATTTACCATTAAATAATAAATTCATCGAGAGCCCTATTGAGGAAGGCTTGAATGCCTGGATCAACTTCCGAGATGGAGCTATGCGGGGGTCGTCTCTATTGGTTTTCCTCCTCCTCGAAGGCCCCCCAATCGCTCCCATGCTTTTAGCAGATGTAGAAGATTTTGTGTTAAAGATCACTGATCCAAATGAAGCATCAGTTGTTGTGACAAATGATACTGGGCCTTTATGTGATGTATCTTGTGGGTATCCAACAGCTCCATCCTGATGCGGGGGTGGGAATTTCTCACTCTTGCTCTTGGCATTTGCTTGTGTCATCACTCTCCACCTCTGCAAATCAGCAAAGATTTGACTATAAGTTTGCTGAGAACAAGTGTCACTATGGAAACTTAATGAAGCCACAACTGCCACTGTTTACACACTGATTGTCCTTGTGGTGGTTACTCTTTAAAGTATAGCAATATCAAACAGAGGAGAAATTGTATGTAGCTGATATGTACATATAATGTTGCTCAACGTAAAATGATGTGATGATTTCGATACCGTCAGATCAACCACTTAGTAATGAAAGAATTTTGACATGCCCAAAAAGATCATTACCATATTCTACTAATCAAGTGGGGTGCACGCTAAACAAACAAACAAACTTCAAACGTCAGGATCAACTTAGAAGTCAAAACCCAAACCTAAAGGCTAAAATCCAGATTCATGTTAGTATACTATAATGAAAATAAAAAAGAACTATCTGTAACACTGAGAAAGGTAAGATCTGCGATTTCAGAACTTTGAAAGAGCCCACATGACATTCCAGAAATAATAAGGTGGGATTTAGGTCTGGGTTCAGGGTTTTCTAATATGAAGGAGTGGGGTGGGTGAGAATGCATATAAATAAGATGTGTGTGTGTGTGTGTGTGTGTGTGTGTGTGTGAGAGAGAGAGAGAGAGAGAGAAGCTTCACGTACATCTAAGTTTCCTGGAATCTCTGCATTAGCTTCTGGAGCTGGAATCGCCCGACCGACTCGTTCACGAGCTTTAACTCTTCTGGGACCTTCAGCAGCATTAGGTTTCCCACTTAGACCTCTTTGCCTGAGGACAACAAATATCATCTGTCAAGATATGCCAAAATGAGTCCAGAAAGCATCAAACATGAAGAAAAGTAAATGAGTAACCTTCTAGCTTCTTCATCTCGTAACTTTACATCCATTTCTTTGGTGGGAGGATATTTTGGTAAACTTGATGGCTCACAAGCAAAAGGCTCCATAGTGAAGAACTGTACCCAGATCACAAAACACCAATTAAACACAACAAAGGAATTTGGCACACCATCACGTCAATTTCTGGTAAAGAACACAGTTGCACTAAGCCCTTGCTAACTCCCAGAGAGTGATATATGTTTCTTTTGACAAGAAATACAACTTTTAAGAAGACTTCTCAGCAGATGGTACATGTCACAGAGCCCTGGAACTAATTAACCATCCTTGCGATTTATTTTGCTTTTCTTTACTTTTTCTTTTGGTGGGAGATCATGTTTTTCTTTTCAAAATATAAAACCCAGCTTCACATTATTGTTTCCTCAGAAAAATTAAAATCAAATAGAGAGCACTTACTTCGCTATTGAGAGCAGTGGTGGCAGTGCCTCGTCCATCAGAATCTACTGATAGAAGAGATTCGATCAAAGGTAGTGAAGAAGCTGGGAAATCCTTGAATGTTTCTGCTACACAACGCTTATATGGCTGCTGTGGCTTAAAAAGTGTTGCATTTGGCAATTTATATTTTTTCCAATATTCCTCAGATGGGGAGCCACATAACTTAAATATCTTGTGCAGCTGCTCAACCTAAACAGGAAAATAATATTCAAAAGGTGTTTGTCAAACTGCAAATCATAGATTGAGCAGAAAATAATAGCAATAACATCACTCAAGAAGATTACGAAACTGGACTTGAAAATGTATACAGAGACGAGAACAACATCTCACAAGAATTGCTGTATTTTATTTGTAGACTCACAAGTAGAAGTGGACCAAATGAAGACACAAAATTGTTGCAAAAGAGTGCAGTAGTAGATCATTATTCAAGAATCGGGAACAATTGAATAACCGGAACAGAACTTTCAAGAACTGATAACCTAAAGAGAAGGGCAACTATAAACCAAAGCAATTATAAATACCTCTGTCCGTCCTGGCATAATAGGCTTCCCAGAAAGTAACTCTGCCAAAATGCAGCCAGCGCTCCAAAGGTCAACACCAACTCCGTAGAAAGTGGCCCCAAGAAGAAGTTCAGGTGGGCGGTACCAGAGAGTGACAACTCGACTAGTCATGTGTTGCTTCTGCTCAGGATCAAAAAATGTAGCCAGTCCAAAATCAGCTATTTTTAAAATGCCTTCATTGTCAATTAACAGATTGGAGCCCTTGATATCACGGTGCAAGACACCATGGTTGTGGCAATGCTCAAGGCCAGATAGCAGCTGTTTCATATAGCACTTGACCTGCCACAGAGAATATCTTGAGAAACAAATCAGCCTTTCAATGTCAAAATTCTATGTATGTGCAATGACGAGCTGGACAAATCAGATTCAAATGGTGCAGGAAGTCACCTACTACAAGCCTACCAATAAAGATGCTAGCTTACTTTCTGTAAGATACAATTCTAAGCCCATTCATCAATTTTTTCAAGTGCCCATTTAATTCCATATATTATCTAAAATGGTTATCAATTGTTTTGTAACATAAGTGAAATAGTTAATCTTTTGTGAACAAAATTTTGACATAATTACCTCACAATTTTCCTTTCCTTCAGAAAAAAGGAAATAAATGAAAAAAAGAGCTTGACTAAACCAAGTATTTGAGCAATGTTGATCTCACTCGAGTTTCGAGTTAACTTAAGCTGCAGATAATGGAATTTTAAATTCAACTTCTTTCTTCTCATGTAATCAACAATAAAAAGCTAAAGAAATTCCTTTCTTCCCCTCAGCTTCGAAGCAATCCCACCTTTTTATCTACGTTTAATAGAGTGATGTGAGCAAACTGAAATTTTGCTGAATTTACCTACCCCATCATATGACTTGCCCTTTGCATATAAATTAAAAATCTGGAAGCTCAAACTACCAGGTATGGGACCCAATCCAGCCTAGAAAGGAAGGTCCCGGGTAACATCAAAAGCTAAAAACAAGCAAAACAAAAAAGACAACCAGGGCCACATGAATTCAAGAACCAGCGTGGCCAAACAAAGGCGAAGTAAACAACACATCCAAACGCATTAAAACAGTCGCTGGAAAGCAGACAGCAAAATCTAGCTCAACCACCATGAACCAAGCAACAATTCATAGAAATCTGACAGTCTACCATTAAACAACAACCCAACCCAAATGAAACTTAGCAAGATAAAGCTTCAATCACTGATAAAAACTAAAACCAAAATGTACCTGAGGCTCAGTGAACTTGACCCCCGAGGAAGCGGCAAGGCCAGAGAGATCGTGCTCCATGTACTCGAAAACCAAGTAGAGGCTGCAAGACATTCTTGAAGTGACCAAGCCTTCAAGTTTAATAACATTGGGATGGTCAAGCTTTCGCAGCACATTGATCTCTCTGGCCATGAATTTCACACTCTCTGGCTCCAAATTATCAAACCTAACCTTCTTTAAAGCCACAATTTTCCCAGTAACCAAGTCTCTTGCTTTATATACATTGCTATAAGTCCCTTGCCCAATCTGAACAAAAAATATATTTTTTCAAAAAAAGAAATGGAATTAGATAAACCCGAAGAGTTAAAGTCATGATTTTGAGCACCTTAGCGAGCTTCTCGAAAGTGTTGGCGCGACGAGGGGTCCAACCCTGGATCGCGTCGCCGGCGACGGCCAAGAGCCACGAAGGCCAACCCTGCTGGTTCGCCGAGAAAGGTTTCCGGCGCTCGATCGCCGGAAAGTCGCCGGTGTGATTCTCCCTCTGCCTCGCTACCGCCTCCTTCCTATCATCCCTGACAGCCTCCACTCCGGAGGGCGCCTCGATACTCCGGCGACGGTGCCCAGCTCCGACGGATCTTCGGCGATCTCCGGCGGCCTCCGTGCCCAAAACGCAACCCATCGTCTCAGCTCCCGAAAGTCCGGCGACGCATTTGGGAATATGTAAACTTCTCAGGCGATGGCAGTCCGGCGTCGTTTAACCGCTGACTGTTAGTTCAAGGACTGTATCTGTCGCTTAGATAAACTCGTCTCGCTTGGCGCCGACGTCGTATCTGGAAATGAAATTGAAACCGCGGCGGGGGGCGGCGGTTTTACAGGTGAGTGGTGTACGGACAAACAAAGAGAAGTAGATAGCGAGAGAGGGCCAAAGTTGGCGTTTTTGATTCAGTTGGGAATCAATTACTGATGAGCTTCAGTGTCATCGCAGTGAGAGAGAGAGAGAGAGAGAGAGAGAGAGAGAGTCTTACTTGTCCGATGGTGTAGAAATTGCGTCATGGTTTTTGGAGTTAATTACGGAAATGCCACGGTGTTGGGGATCTAATTGTCTGCAAATTTACGATTTTTACCGCGGGCGAGAGAGAGAGAGAGGCGCAGAGGGAAAAGAGAAACGGAAAGAGAAGATACTGATTGCTGACATGAATGTAAAAATTGGGAGTTGGGATTGGGACCCCAAAAGTCAAACCCAGAGAAGAAAGCTACTTTTTGACACGGCTCTAGGGTCTGGGTCAAGTTCCTTTTTTTTTGTAACAAAAAATTATTCCATCTAACATTTTGACTCCTTGTGTACAATAAGAATCATATAGTTTTAAGTCTTCTAGGATTCCCATTAAAATATCTGTGAAATCATAGTTTTTAGAAAAGTAGATGCATGATTTGATTAGACTATTATGATTAAAATTGAGTAATTAACATTTTTATCTTTCGGCCCCTAAATTGTAGTGTGGATAAGGAAAGTACGTACAACGTCTGTCCGACTTCTCATTGATACTTTTTATTTTATTTTTTGTGGTGACGATCATGATTGAAAATACAAAATTAAGAAAATATGGTATCGTTTAACCATTTGATCACAATTATTATCATTTCATTTTAATCGACCACATTGTGTACAACAATTTGTGATTTGGTTAACTTTTTAATTAAAGAGTGTCAGATACGATCAATGTCTCCAATTATTAAAGTGCATTGCAAGGTGGTCGAGAAAAAAATGTTATCACTTTTCTTAATAGACATCCTCATTGTAGGGTATAGATCAACTTATTCCACTAATTTAACTATTATAAGTGAGTAGAAAAGTATAGCTTTGTTACGTCCGAGTCCCAAATTAGAACTTGTTCAAATCCCCACTACGCCACTATCATTTGATTTTAAAATAACTACTTTAGACGCCACCTACAAATTAATCCCACTCCAACCTATTGCATCTTGAACTAAATCTACAAGATTTGTTCTTTCGGTTTTGGAGGGCTGAATTATTTGGTCTAGGGTGAGAGGGATGAGTAGCAAATGAGATTAAACTCAATTCTAACTACCCCACCGAACCTATTAAAAAAGGGTATGGTAGGTTAGATTCTTACATTTATTACAGAAAACATAGAGAGGGAGCAAAACTTGCAGTTGAATTCAAGTACAAGGCAATGGTGGCAGGAAACGAAGTTTGTTAGCTTGTGTTGATTGCGGAGAAAGAAATTTCAACACAATAATTTTATTAATTTTCTCACCAACTTTTGTGATTTAGCTAAATGATCTATCTAATTAACTAATCATGATTAAGCAACACATCAAATGGGTCTTAATATTTTATTAAATAAATAAGTATAAGAGTCAAAGAAAATGAAGGTCAAGTTTATTGTGCCGTGCTTAAATTGAGAATTGACCTGTCATTGACTACAAGATTCAAAATCTTAGAACATAATAAAATGGCAAACAAAGGACAAACGTTCTATGCCAAAGGTCTTTCTAGAAACATCAAACATTGCATTCATTGCTCGTTGAATTTAATTTTCCTTGCTGCATTTTTGAGTTAGGTAGAATGGCAAATTAATAAAAATATGTTGGATGGTAAAGTGACCTCATATCCACTTCATGCATCGGTTGAAGCAATGAGTACGCTCAACCAACCTTGGTTCTTTTAATTTTTAATTTAATTTATCACACACATTGTTGATGTGTCATGGGGTTCGAACATTAGACTACTGATATGCAAATTAGATCATTTTTCACTGAGTTGGACCCCGTTGGCTTCTTAACATATATCCTAAGTTAGACATATCATGAAATCTCGTATTTAAAATATTATCAAACAACTTACCCTTAATTTGTATTTATCTTATATTTTATTGAAATAGAGATCTAAACATATATATATATATATATATATATATTAGTTATGGGTATCATTATTGACTTAAGGATCTCAAGAACAAAACAACAAATTATGTAAGGCTCCACTTGTTATAAGTAAAGGTTCAAGTATCACAATTACAATAACATCGTTCGTATATGTCTTTAGAACATAAATCTCTTCTTTGGGCTAGTGCGGTGACATTTTTAAAACCTTAACATGGGGTCGAATAAAAAAGCCCAATTGTTTGGCCATTTTATTTTAATCAAGATATTGTTTCAAATTAGGATGATAAATTCGAGTTTAAGACATCTTTCAACGTTGACAAAAACAAAAGAGAAGTACCGTAATCTTAAGAACATAACAAAATCAGATGTGTATACCACACATAATTGATAATTCCAAACTTTAATCCAATTGGCACCATAATCTTAAGATAGATATGGATAGGTTTATAGATGATTTATTTTTCATATAACTATAATAAATAAATTAAAAAGAAAAGACAGAACATTTGATTTGAGTAGAAGCATGATAATGTTGCTGAATCCATGGCTCCTAGCCACAAAGAAGCAGGACAACCAAAACCACTCGAAGTTGAATTAGCACAAAATTATTGAACAAACGTGTCCACTGTCCATTGGTTTTGCATATGGGGTTCTGTGGATAAAAGAGATCAAATCACCCACTAAAGCTGTCAACCGATAAAACGCCAGCCAGCGTTCTTGTTTATTTGTTGTTTTGTTTCTTGAAGTTTTGAAAAAACAGAAACTTGGGAAGTGGTGAGCAAAAAATGGGAACCTTCTTCTGCTGCTGGGATCCAGATGAGCTTTTGCTGGGGCTGCTGCTGGCTTTGGTGCTTGCTATGGCCTTCTTTATCACGTGCCTGCCTCCTCCTTCGAGGAGAGTGGCTGTTTACCATTGCTCTTGATTAGTTTTCCAAAATGTGCTTTCATTTTGCTAATTCATTCTGCTTAGTGGTTGCTCTTGTATTGTTTTGTCGTGATACCTACTACGCGTACGTGTATGTGTATGCACTCGTATTTGGGATGAGAAGTTTGTAATGGCATCAATCTCTTCAGTATAAAACGAACTGCAAGATCAGTTTCAGTCTCTTTTGTTTGTAGGCATTCAACAATACCAGAATCTAGTTGCCCCACACTGAGGCTTCTCTATCTTTTTGGGGTTTTGTAACAGCCGTTTACCCTAGCATGATAGCTCAGGGAGGAAACCGGCACTGTATCCTTTTTTATTATTATTGTATTTAGTTTAATATGAAGGAACAATGAACAGGTGATAAACTTGGGACCTAACAGAAGCACATTTCCTTGCCGGAACACAAAAACATATTAGCTGTGCCATTTGCCGTGAGGTGGATTTGTTGGAAGAACAAGGGTGCAGAAAATAAAATTTACCCAAGTTCAACATTTTAGCACTACTGGTCAATAAGGACAATAACAACGTCTGCAAAATATTAAGGATGAAAAAACCTAAACTAAACAAAGGAAACCTTATATCCAATTAATCCTTGATGTGAGTATAATTCCCAGCCTCTAGGGATGGGTGGCATATATACTTATAAAATAGTAAATCTACTGGCAGCTGCCGCCATATGTGTGCTAACCAAAGGAAAGCTTTTCTATTTTGGCTAACCAGAGCAAAGCTTTTCAAGGGCCAAGTTCTCATCCCCACCAACAGCTTCCAAAGTGGTCCTTGCCTGACCTTCAGGGAACCCCATCTCTACAAGTTTTTGTACCTGTACACGAAAACTCAATATATTACCAGATCTCCAATTTTTCAGATTTATCAATAAGGAAATAAACTAAAAATCTGCCAGACTGCTCAGTTTGCTTTCAAAAGAGTTACTCTTTTATGGTGACTTAAGTTTCAAAATGCATCTATTCTTTCCATAGACATTAAAGTCAAGCAGATCAAAGAGAAGGTAGGATCAGACTGACCTTTTCCTCAATCCCAAGAGACGATTTCTTGGCAAAAGTTTCAGTCCAGTATCGAGCTGTGCCAACAAAGGTCTGGTAATCTTTAAGATACTGCAATATCGACATAAAGGAACTAACTTAGAATGAGAGAAAAATTTGATAAATAAATACACAAAGGCACCACCATCAAGGCAAGACTAGCAGCAATCAGTAGTAAGTCTGATACTCTCCAAGTACAGCACATCCACAAAACATAATCTAACATCAATTGAAAGACAAAATTTTTGCAATAGCAGAATCATTGGATAAAGGACAAAAGCAGGTTTAGACCTGTTGTGCCACCACAGCATCTTGAGGATCATCTGGTTGAGGAGCAGAAAGTAATGCTTGTACAGAAAGAAGTGCTGTTTTCAATGTGAGAGCTGGGCTCCATTGGTCCTTCAAAATATCCAGACAAATTGCTCCACTTTGACTGCTGATATTAGGGTGCCTTCAACAGGTGACATACATACACAACAGAAAATTCTATATTAATGATCCCTATGCATATCATTTCTTCAAGTATACAAATTCATCTGCCCCCCAGATTCTTACACACTGTCACCAGTTTATTTTATCTCTATTTTACAAACGGTTATTGCTAACAATATAAAGTTCAGGAAACAGGGTATACTAAGAACCAAATTATCGACCTCCAAGCCAAATCAAGAAAGTTCCATCAAAGTCCCGATCTTGCAGTCCACGATGATCAAGGACTACTAAATATTCAACCCACGGTACATGCAACGGGTTGTCAGTTTACTTCAATCTCAATTGACTACATAAAGACTTAAAAGGAGGAAAATTCTAAATCCCAGAAGTGCTAAAATACTCTTATATGCAATATAATCAAAACAACTATGTATGACAACATCCCACAATGTGCCTCATTGTATGGTCAATGAACCAGCAAAGTCGGGAAAAAAAAAGAAGAGGAAGAGATATGAACATAAATTCTCCCTACCAAACTTTGGTCGTAAACTTCATTTTGGGAGGCTCAAAAGGGTATGCATCTGCAAGAAGAAATCCAACAGTTGACAGCCGTGTTAGTAGGAATTTTAACACACTCCTTTCTCATTAAGTCTTATCATGGTGGCCTTTTACCCACTTAACCCCAAATTTGACAGGCACTAGACAACACATAAAACAACAAAGTAACTTCCTTTTTATTTTTTCTTCTGCTGCAAAGAGCTTCAATTCAAACCCACTATAGACCCCATATGAACTTTTTCAATGTTAAAGTTTCAATCTTGGCATAACCCCATTCACTTCCGCAGCTTTTCTCAAGAACTAAACATAAAAGAACACCAAAAATACAAGTAAAAAGAGAAAGAACAGCACAATGAGAAGGGAAATTGAATTGAACCTGACAATGCGATATCGATCTGAAAAGTGCCACCCTCGTAAGGGGTACCAGTTGGGCCAGGAATGGTTCCAATTAAACGGGCAAGACTACCGTCGCCTTTGGGGCTGACTTTGATACCTGAGCGCTCGACGTCTCGGCTGCATTCCTGAAGCTCCTTTTGAACCCTAGCAAAGTCTACCATCTTCAATTGCTTACAGAGAATCTCAGAAAACTCAGGGAGATATAAAGGCCCAGTTGGAAATGGAGGTAGGAGGTGACAGAATAGCGAATAAAGCTCTCGCCTTTATCTCTCTCTCTACCGAGCTCTCTCTCCTTTATGTGTATGTATATATGTGAATATCTCTCTCTCTGATTGATGCTTTTTTTGGTTATATTGCTCTTTTTGGGTTTCGAACCTTGATGCTTTACTAATTAGTGAAATAAAGAAAAGGATTGTCATTCACCCTTTAATACTTGTATTATGCACATATATATATGTATTTTTTAATTATTTTTTATACACATCTTAAAGACCCGATAATATATATATATATATTTTTTAAACATACAATACACGTATTATATACATAAGTACATATTTTCTTCTTTTAATACACTAGTTTTTTTACAAATTTGTTGAATAATACAGACAATATTCACTTATTTTTTACATATTATTGAATAAAAATAATATATATTAAATATATTATATTATAATATTATATAGTGGTTGAACCAAAATTTTACTAAATAAAACATGTATGTATTTTATTTATACTTTTTTCGTTCTGTGTTTTACTAACTAGGGTATAAAGTAAACAATGTTGTTTAAGAATTATTTCTGGTAATTATTGTGGTTCTAATAATTTCAACCAATGAAATAGGGGGTTCTTTTTTTGGTCCTAATTAAATAGTGGATTTACCAAATATGAAAATAATGTGGATTCTTATATTAAGTAAATTTAGGTTTTAGCCACAAAAAAAAATTCACTTTTGGAAAAAGCCAAAGTCTCCTTGTTATTATATCATGAAAAAGCTGAATTTTCTTAAAATTCATTGTATAATGAGATTAAAAAAAATGTATACAGTAGAGATGTAACTCAAGCACTTAAGAGCATTCACAATTTCCATATTTTAATTCGTCGCTATCTAATATTCCTTGTATAAAGAAAACTACGTTGATTTCATTTGTTTTACCGTTTTGTTCTCTTAAATGATGTTTGTACCATATTTGACCCCCCCACTCACGTCTTGACACGTGGAATGTAAACACAACTCGAACCAGCCTAGTGAGCCATGCCGAAAGGTCGATCAGCATGCTCCATCGATTCACACGTTGTCAAATCGGTGAAATGCTTGCAAACTGACGAAAGACACCAACCTTCGGCACACGATGCCGAGCGACCAGTCAGCGCATTTGGCCAATTCTAACAAATATCACCTCGGAGCTCCCGCAAGAACCTGTCAGGGCACGTGTCGACCACCGAAAACACTCCCACGAGTCCACATTGAAACTAAGTACTAAGAGCATCACAAATGCTCTCTATAAATAGAGCTCATTGGCCAAGCCAAGATGTAAGACTTTTTACTTGACTTGTGCTTTCACATTGTCAATAGAACCACTCTTAGTCACTAACTTTGGCATCGGAGGGTCTACGACCAGCACCACACCGATGTCTCAGACTGTACAAGTTAGCATTATCTCTATCTGTTTAGATTTAGCGCGAACAAATAATTTGTGTAACTCATGACCAAATTGGTGAAGTGCAACAATCTGCTAAGTCTTTGCCATACAAATTCCATGTCCTGTGAAAAACCCAACGAAACTAATTGGCTAGGCAACACCGTAGAGGGGTTATGAGTCACATGACTGGACAAAATGCACCAATACTTACCTCAACATAAAATGTTCCATACTAACTTGGTTTCAAAGAGAGGAGCTTATATGCAACAAGAATATTGCTCTGCTTGTATTTCAAGTCTAAATTCTAAATTAAAATGCATTACAATGACAGACTTGAAATATCGCTATAATGACATCCCCCTATAAATAAGTTTTTCTCCTTTTGTAGTTGCTTTGTTTACATATTTTGTTGTTTGATATTGCTGTTAGACACTTTGCCTTGTATCAAAACCACGTTACCCCCTTAAGAAAAGTAACCCCAAAAAAAAAAGTGTTGGGTAATGCAGTATACATGTAAATGCGTACTTCTTCTCATTTATATTTGTAAAATGTAATTACATCATCTCAATGGAATTTTTACAGGGCAAGCATAATTAACTAATGCTCAATCTTAGCAAACACCTGTAATTAATCACTAACGACAATGACATCTACACTAGGGTTCCACCCTTCACATACCCAGTGAAGGCCAAAGCTACAAGGCCCAACATGGCCAGCCTTCCATTCCACAGCTCAGCGTCTGAGGTCATCACCCCTTTTGATTTCGACTCAACACTCACCCCTTTTTCAACAGAGGAACCAAAGAGGCCACAGATGGCAATTAAAATACTGGTGCCAAGGAGCAATGGGATTCTACCGTTGGATATTTGAGCAAATACATCCTGGCCCTTGGATAGTTCCACTGCCAGAGCTGCAACAAATCCCACCATTGCTATCCTGCCGTTGATTCTCTCTGGTGCTGGCCCACTGAATGCAAGCACGTCTGAAACTTGGGGATAACGACCTGCACTCAAGGAGAAATATGTACATATGTCACATGTAGCTCAACCTATACATGAACTTTTATATCACTAGCTATTTTGATTAGTTCTATCTGAATGTGTGGTTTAAATTTGACCTAACTTGACGTGATGATAAGTGAGATGATATTAAATCTTGTGCTTGTTTTAAAAGAAAAGAGTTAGCTAGGTACCTTAGGAGAAGGTGGGAGGTAAAGGGGAAGGAGCTGGCTGTGAATTGGGTGGACGCTGAACGGTGCAAAATTTGGCACCACGTCCTCATTCGGCTTCCCAGTCAAAATGGGTGACTTGGGTTCTCTTGTTTTAGTAATTTTTGCCTCTTCCGGGTACATCTACAGAGTGTGTTAACTGGTTTGCATGAGAATGAGAAACAAACGCGGCTTCCTCCCACACCACAATGCACCAAATTACCAAAATGTCTCTCGAATTTCTGCGGACATTCTAGACAAACCATTGACATGTGAAGAGAATGATAAAATCTTTACTTTTCTTTTTACGTGACAAAGAATTTAGGCAAAACCACACAAGTGGCAAACTGGTGGGAAATTTACTATGGCAGAATAACAATTCTATGAGAGTTTCTTGCTAAATTCCAAATTAATGAGAACAAAGTTGAATAATATATTCTCATTTCTTTAAATGGATTGAAAGTGACATGAGATATCAGAATATAAAATACATGGTTGGAGAGCAGAAGAAGTTTTGGATGATGTACAAGTCACGTAGGCCTCCTCCAAGTCCAAATAAATATTATCTTTGCCTTTGTCTACCAGTATTGATGTTTATACCAAATCGTTAATCCTAATAAGATTTGAAGACGTATCTGTGTTTTTGTTTTAATCAAGATGCGTGCTTAGGTTAAACTTAACCGAGTCATTCAAGAAATATTTTTTTTTTTGTAGAAAAGATAATGAAAAAGGAAAAATAAAATTGGTACATCAGATGAGGAGAAACACTTGCATACAGATATAGCACTGTTTTGCTAATCTTTGACCACGATATGTCATAGTGATAATCAATGATTAATCAAAAATAGTAAAATAATGTTATATACGTAAGATAGACAAAGTTGGAAGTTGACAGGACATGTTAATGTAATAAAATTAATTATGACAGGGAAAAGAGAGCCGAAACTTGAAGTCACAGAGAGCCCCTGGTTTTGGTTTTTGGGTTTGGGTTGGGGTCTGTCTGCAAACAAATTCCATGCCAACAACATTTAAGAAAGAAATAAAAACCGCAGCCAACCAGTCAGAAAATTCGGGATAAAGCGATATATATTCATGACCCACAGTTTTATTTTCTTTATTTTATTCAAAATTGGGAGGCTAACACCAAATCGTCAATCAATCACTACCCAACATCCATTTACACACGGAAAAGGCAAAAGATGGAAAATGCCAGAATTGCAAAGAAAACAGAGGATATTCGAAGAAGAAGAAAGAAGAAGAAACCTGTTGAAGAATAACCCATTAAAAGCTTTTTCATTTGGTTTTTATCTTCTCTTTTCTGGCTTAGTTTTCTTCAACCAAAGTTTCAGCTTCGTATATCCAGTCTCTTATTGCTTAATTCCCTGGTGCGTAAATGAAAGACTTGAACTTTAGCTTTGATTGCATGCACTTGATCTCTTTTTTGTTTCATTTTGATTTTTTTTTTAAATGGTATATTGCTCTCTATGTGGTTGCCAAGGGAAAAGGAATTGAAATTTGATCATGGTTCTTCTGCTTTTTCTGTATTGTTTTGGTTTCTGCGAAATTTTAATAGTTCAAATGAAAAGAAATGGTTGGTTGTGTTGAGTTCAGCTTAAAAAAGGTTTTAATTTGATCTCGCGCTTTATGTTGAACAGTTGAAGAATCAAACTTTGAGAAAGTTCTATATACTTAACAAAAAACAAATAAGTAGGTATGTGTATATATATCTTCTTCGTTTTTCTAGAAATTTTAAGCAACCGATTGGACCCATGTCGAAATTTTAGCGGGAGGGTTGTTGACTTTGTATTCTGCATTAAGCTCCCTGTCTTCCTTTGAATCCTTTCCCTCTGTTAATATTATAATGGCCTTTTGACATTTGTGTTTTGGAGATTCTTCTTTGTTATGGAATTCTCTTCTCTAAGAATCGAAGCTGGCCAAATAGAAATTCCTCCAATGCTAATATTTTGTTGGAAATTTTGAAGGAGATACTTCTTGGAATCGCAGTCATTTGATTGGTTTTTGTTTTACGTTATTCTAGTTCTGTTTTATGTCTAAGTATTTTGTTTTCCATCAGTGGTAACAATAAAGATTAATTTGGGGGGATCACTATATTTTATTTTGCTTATTTTTGGAAACGATAAGACCAAAGGTCAAAGGATAAAAGAAAGTGAAGTTTTGAATACGTAGTTTTTCCTTTAGGCTGTCAATGACCACTTCCTAACAGAGTTTATTATTCCAGGATGCTGCATTGGTTTCTGGAAAACCATGAACTGCTTGTTTCCCTTTGTTAGCTAGCTGGTTTGAAGAAGGCATAGCTTCCTGCGTATCCTGTCTGAGATCCTGATGTCTGCTTCAGCTCCCTATGATCAGATGGAAGAACTAATTGAGATGCAGATGCTTGTTGTAGGGATAGTCTGGTAGCCTCTAGTATAAATGTGGAATTGGAATTAGAATTTTAGAACTCGTTCTTTAGTTGGTGGGAACTGAGGCAAGTAAAGGGCTTTGATAAATGCAATTTGATTCTTATGCATGAATGCACTGAGAAAGAGGGAAAAGAAAAAAAAACCATATAAAAGAAGTAAAGTCCAAACAAAGCACTTCATCTTGAAATTTGTTGAAGATGGGCTTGCCTCAAGTGTCTTCTAGCAGTATTGCTGAGGAAATGGCCGCATCACTGTGCACATTTATGCAACCTCCACCTAGACTTGCCGTCATGAGCAGCTGTGATTTAAGTGGGATGCATGGAGGAAACCTGGGAAATCACATGCAGGTGGATTTCACATGCTCTTCTTTTGGAGAGTCCCAAAGGAAATCCATCATGGAGATTCCAAATAAACCAGATTTTTCGAATGCACGTAAAGATGGTAGATCAAACATGCATGCATTGAAGATTAACACTACGGTAGAAAACTACTGGTTAAATCAGAAATTTGGGCAGAATATGCAGACACCTGTTCCTAGGATTGTTGGTTTCGAACCAAGACAATTAGATTCTTCTCTTAATTTTTTTGATGGAAACCAATATTCTTCAAGTGCGGTGACTGTCACAACAGGTAACACAACTGAGGCCACTGGGTCAGCACTCAGGAAGCGGTTATTGTCTCCTTTGAATGGAATGCTTCTCCAGGATCATTTCAATGGTGATTCTCTAGACATTGGGGATGGGGTTCACAAGAGTGGCGCCTGGGGATACAATGATAGTTCTAATGTTCCCACATTACATGAGCATAAGAAGGCTCATATTGGCAACTCCAGTTATTTTAATTCTACGATCTGGTCTGCATCTTGTTCCCCAGAGTGGAAGAGTTCACTGGATCACAACTGCAATGCAAACTCCTCTTCTGTATTTGATGGTCCTTTGCTTGAAAACAGGGAACCACAATCTCAAAATCAGTTCTTATCATCATCTGGACTTGATTACTCTAGAGAAACAATTAAGGTAAGGTCAGAATTTGGGGCTATAGACATATCATCAAGAAAAGTGGCTTTGCCTACACTTTCTTTATCTCCTCTTGGTCCAAAGTTTCCTGAAAGAGTGAAATGTGGAGAATTATGCAGGGATCATAAGCCAAAGTTAGATGATAACAATATAACGCTTAAGGACATAGAACAATCACTTGATGGAACTATCTCAGCCATTTCATCATCCTGGAAAGAGGAGGCTTTTAGGTTGCTAAGTAACTCATCGCAAGATGTTGATATGCTGCAGAAAAAGTTTGACCGTTTTGGGTCTGAGAGTACTACCACTGGGATGGGGCAGCACTGGAGTCAGGATTTGAAATCTAAGCCTAAAGGTGTTAAATTAGTACGAACCCCGACTGGACTGCCTGGTAGAAGGTCATTGGTTGGATCATTTGAGGAATCCCTGTTGTCTGGTCGATTGGTATCTGCAAAGGTTAATCAGGTTTGGATTCATTTCTTCAATAATGTGATATATATTGAGCTCCATGTTGTAACAATTTCTGTGGTTGATCTTAGTTCCTATTTGAAACTTGGTTTGCAGAGAATTGATGGTTTTCTTGCTGTTCTGAATGTCACTGGAGGGAATTTCTCGCCAAAATCACAGAAACTTCCGTTTGCAGTGACCAGTGTAGATGGAGAAAACTATTTACTGTATTATTCATCAATAGATCTTGCTAGGAATATGACTCCAAGCGATTATGGAAGTCTGAGGATGAAGCGGAGCTTTAGCATGGATGATTCACGAGCAGACAAGAGCCGTCTGAGAATACCCATGAAAGGCCGCATACAACTGGTAATTAGAATATTAATCAAAATATATATCAAGTACCAGAAAACTTCAAATGGTCTCAGTTCTATCCACAGCAATGCATTGAATTCAGGAACTTTTTTGAATCAACAGGAGTTTTTTGTGTTCTTGATGTGCTAGATATGCGATTATTGATAGTTGTTTGTGTAGCTTAGGATGTCTCACTCTCATGTGTTTAAGCTATGGAATTTGATTTCGGGAGAAAAGAATGACATTTCATGCAGGGAAGAGAGCATAATTTCTATCTATCATCATTTTGGATGATGGAATAAGAAGTAACTGTCAGGGAAAAGTTTTTCAACAAAATGCATGATAAGAATATGTATAATGGATGCTCATGCTGATTAAAAGTTTTTCAATTAATTCCTTGTAGTTGTACATATTCAATAACATCTGGTGGTCGTCAGACCAAGACATGGTTGGTCATACACTCATGAACTGATTGTTTATGGCAGGTTCTCAGCAATCCAGAAAAGACACCTATTCACACCTTCTTCTGTAACTATGATTTGAGTGACATGCCAGCGGGTACCAAGGTAGTCAAGAAGTAGAGAGAGAAAAATTAATATGTCAGGTCTCACAATTCTTATGCATGATGAATCTTGTTCGTAATTGATACCTGCTTTGTGGAAGTTTGGACCATCTTCACATGGTTTGAATGTGAAGTCAAACCTATCTCGAATGAATCTGCACTTTTAAATGGAATTGGATATGGCTAGGTTTTTCCAACAGGTATCACCAATTATAGGATATACAATAATTTTCTTTAAGACCTCCATAAATTTTGAAAGCATTATAGTCATAAACTTAGGAACTTGTCTTTTGACACTTCTTGACTTCATTGAGTTATTCAGATTAAGTGCTGCCACATACCTATGTGTAAATATACATTTGAAGGTAATAGATTGTGTGCAAACGTACTTAGGTAGGAAAAGAAGGAAAAACACAAAGATGCAAGAGCGTGAATTTTAGGTAGCAACAGGGTTTGAATGGGTTCAAGTTGACTGCTGCTGCTAGGCCTTTTGACGTCAACCTATGCTCAGACCGTCTAATAGGAGCCCAATCTGAGTTCATCCTGAGTGTGATCCTTACCTGGAATATCCAAACACAGGATGCCTTAACTAGCATAGCCCCTATATGTTTACATTAATGGTAAGATAAGATGATAACAAAAATCAGTCATCATTTGTTGAAAATTAAGATCGTTTTGAGGTGAGCTTTTGAAGATGTAGCAACGATCTAAATTTACCCTTCATATGAGCTGATTTGAAACGGCTCAAGATGCATGTTTTGTGGCTGAACATGTTAGTGTAGAAATTGAAAAATTCATGCTGCTTGCTTATGCGTAATTTTTCATGGAGCAGAGATGAGGACTTTCTTCTAGCTCAATCTTTGTCTTCTGTAGAATTTTAGATGGATATGTTTGCTTTTGAGGTTTTGCTTTAATTGAGATTCTTATTTATGGTCATTTTCCTTGCACATTCACCTATCAAATACAGACATTTTTGCGCCAAAAGATCACTCTAGCCTCTTCTGAACCAACCTGTAAGGCTGGGAACGGAAAACATACAGATCCTGGTAAAGAAAATGATGCGAAGCCATCTTCGATCCTAGATGCTGCTAATTCTCTGCAGCTTAATGCCAATGATGCAGATTCAAATGGGCTTAATAATGCCCATACAATTAGATCTTCAAACCAGTGTATAACAGTATTGGGAACTGTAGGCTCTGCCTACACCAATGATGTACTCAATCAATACCATAGAGAGGGAGAATGCATGACGGCCTGTTATCCCAGTGAATCCAATGGTTGTGTATGTGAAAAGATCAGCGAGAAGGACAGCATCACACTGAATAGATGCCATATTAGTGAAAGCAAGTCTCTGTGTATCCCTTCAAAGGTTAGCAAGAACACTACTGGTGCTGGCGTTCTGCGTTATGCTCTTCACCTTCGCTTCTTATGCCTTTTTCCTAAGAAACGTTCAAGGTCTGTCCAGAGATGCAAGTTAGATCCCTTATCTGGACAAGCGACAAACAGTTTCGACATTGAAGGAGAGCGGCGCTTCTACTTATATAATGATTTGAGGGTTGTGTTCCCTCAACGGCAGACAGATTCGGATGAGGGAAAGGTATATTATACAAAACAGCTTATACGCACCATTAATGTGCCTATTGATTTGCATTATAGATGTTTTTCCATGTCGGTTTGCATATAGTGTTCTTGCATGATTCTTATTTGTTGGCTGAATTAAATGGAACAACATAGTATGCAACTGTGCGTAACAATGGTTCAAACCAAGCCGTCCTTTCTACTCTAATGCTCAACTTGATGCTTCCATCTGATGCCTTCTACATACTAGAGATCTTAAAACCAGCATTTTCAGTTTTTACTAAATGCTTCCCAGCTAAAAATGCTGTCGATCTCAACTTAAATATGTAGGAAGCTTGTTTCTGTAAACAAAAGCCACAAAAGCATGTAACAATCATTTAGGTCATATGAATTTGAAGGTACGCACAGATCAAGCGTAGCCTTGATCCGCACTCTTGTTGAGTTATGCTGCAAAACATTTCCTTGGTTTATGACATTTGGAATTCAGATTATCAGTTCTTGTACTTCAGACATATATCTGTAGAATCTAAGTTCTTCCATTTGTTTCTAGGCATCAAATAGTTTTGAGCTCTGTATTGTAATCCAACTATGCCTGTCCTTTTTCATTTTGCAGTTACATGTGGAATATCATTTTCCTTCAGATCCGAAATACTTTGATATCAGCAACTAAAAGGCATAGGACTTATCTGCTTAATAGATAGCATTATCTGTAGCCAGGTAAATAGTTGTACATTCAATTCCCTCATTTTTGGGGCAATTCCCCATTCAATCTGTAAATTACCATGTTTATCAATAACTAGTCGATTAAATATATACTTTTCATACTCGGTACTTATTTCATATTTGAACACTGATGGATTTGATGACAGCCTTGCCATTTTAATTCAGCTATTTAGAAATCCTTGCCCCCTTACGAAGAAAAACTTGTATATCACGGGATAACACTGTCTTGCTATCCCCAACCAAATAGCAAAACAGCGGAGCAACACAGTGGTCCTAATGACATGCAAGTGTTTCTCCTTGATAAGACCAAAACTTGGAGTTTTCGTTTGGGACTTGAACTCGGCCACCCCAAACAGTTTCTTTCAAGGTGGTGGTGCTATTTCCAAGCAATATGTCATCCAATTCTAATTCAGCCCTTGCAAGTACTTGTGACGCAATGGCAAGCACATTCTTCCCTGAAATGTAGTAAATTTTAGAAGAAGAATAAAAAGTGAATTTCAATCCAAATGAGTTTGACACGTCACCCTCCAAGGCTCCAATCCAACCACCAAACCCTGTTTCTTGTCCATGTTAAAGGGGTCATTAACAAAGTGGAGATTGAGAATCAAACTCACGACCTTTAGCAACAACAAAAAAAGTTTCTAGTATGTACAAAGTTCAAGATGTCAAAAAATGAGTCAACAATGTATATCTAATTTACGAGCACACCATACTATAATTTGATTTCTACACCTACCATTTGGTATTGAGATTAACTTCAAACTGAGAGCGGCTTCTACCGAAGATGGTAGTTGCTTCCATGCAGAGCCATTCTAGGCAGCTCATGGTACCAGCCATGGTTTAGGATACTGTAAATTTGGTTTTGTATGCCATTTGTGTTAAAAATTGCATGCGTGCACTTAAGTGAAATCCGCTTGGTTCTATGCCACCAGATGCATATGCTATATCTACTACCAGATGTTAATTTGGTTCTGCCACCTCCATTTCGATGAAAGTTATAAAAGAAGAGGTCTTGTTCTTTGTCTACAACAAGTAGGAAGTGGTCCAGCTATGAGAAACTAACTAAGCATTCAATACAAGGGTTGTTAGAAATAATAAATAATAATTAAAATATAGTAAAAAAAGTGCTACAAATGTGTTGTGCTTTATCATTTTAGAAGGGTAACATATTCTTTCAAAAATATTGAGCAAAGTTAATTACTTAACAAAATTAAAATACATCAACGGTGTTTAGCCTAGCAGAAAATTACGTTTATTTGCAGACAAGTGGTCTCAAGTTCTAACTCCCATGACACTTTTGTACTCCGTGTGTGAGAAACCTCATCTCCTTATAGTTTAAAATATCGTATATATTTATTATATAAAATAAATAAATAAATTAAAAGACAAGTATTAATTTGACATTATTTTTTGTATTGCTTGAAAGTGAAGATTTAGCATCGATAAAAAAGCCTAGCCAGCATAGCTACCTGCCTAGTGCCTACACAATGAAATGAGTGACCTCTAACGACGGAGGGAAAAAGAGAAGATTGCTTGAAAAGGATGTGAACTTGTAAACCCACATATGAAATGAGTGCACTTACTTTACGCCATGTTTGTTGCGTCCAATGAAGAATGACATCGTGTTCTAGAAATCTTAACTAATATTAATATCATGCGTGGGGCGGATTGGATTTTCCATATTTATTATTCAATATTTGAAGCAATTTATTGCTGGACATAATACATTTCGAGTTGCTCCCGTCTCCATATGCAGCATGCTAAACACAGCCTTATATAGGTACAAGTCATATTGGGTAAGGAGAATCGAACTTAAAATCTTGAGTACACGACTAAATATTTTCAATCACTTGAAGTTACAATCCCCTTCCAGCCTTATACAGACATAATGGAAAAGAGGGGCCACCACAAGCTTAAGGCTTATAACTTCAAAACAATGGCATTCAATATGGTTAAGGGGTCGTATGATGGCCTCCTTGGTGCCAGACGTGTCGTGTCGACATCTTTTTGCTTGTATGGATTGCAGCTTTTGAGAAAACCCCATTCTGAAAGCTATCCTTTATCTGGAAGATTGGAAAGTTAGATCAAACTCGCATGAGCTCCATCAATTTAAAGAAAAAGTTTTGCATGCTTTGGCTATCCAAATCTATGGCACCACTGAATTTTTGCAAGCAGAAACCATGGCTTTCCAGTAAAGGGTTTGTAGCTTTGTTGCTGAATGGGGGGACTAAATTGATGGAAATGTTATGGGCTCACAGTAAATGCCAATGCTATGCATGGTTGAACAAAAGGTGTAAACTTTTGAACTTGGGAAAAAAAAGATTGAAAAAGAAACTAACCCAATTCAAGCTTGACTTGGGAATTTAATGCAATCCTGATTTTCTGTTTCACTCATTTGGTTTTTAGCTCAGTATTAAGTTAAAAAGAAACAGTAACCATTTGGATGACAGCAACAAAGTAGACAGATGGCTGTAATTTTCTGATGTGAGCAGTTCCAAATTATGTGAATAATGCCACAAGAATTTATGCAAGTGTAAACCAAATTTGACTAAACAGAGAAAAGAGTTGCCTGACAGACAAGCAAGCACTCGGAACCATTCAAATCAATTGAGTTAAATAAATATTAACTGAGACCTCCAGTGAAAATTTGAAGCCTGTTTTCAAGAAAATCATCCCATGAGTTTTAACCATGTAATTCGTCACCAACGTTATCCACAAGTGAACCCAAAAAACAAAAATTTAGCAATGAGATGTTGTAATGGATTAAGAAAGTGAAACACCATAACTCATTTTGCGGTTGAGTTGACAAGTCACACCAACACCATCACTCTCTCTGCACTCTCTAGAGATTCCTCACCATTTCTTTTTCTTCTATAAATGCTCCTCTCAAGTCTTTAACTCCACACACTTATCTATATCTGTTACCCTTTTCTTCAGCTCTTATCATCTCTTCTCTACTTTTTCCTCTGGTTTTCTGCAATTGTTCTTCTTCAGAATCAGAAACCCACCTCTGAAAACCCCCAAGAATTTTCACCATGGCCAGCATTGAAGCCAAGATTCAGCAGAACCCACCTCAGAAAACCCAAAATGTTTTTCTTGGAACCCAGATTTTCATGAGAACTTTCACAATGACTGCTACATTGGCTGCAACTTGGGTGACGGTCACAAACAAGCAGACCGCTCAGATTGTTGGCATAGAATTTGATGCTAGATATAACTATTCCCCTGCCTTCACGTAAGAAGATCAAAGACAACACCAGTTTTTATTTTGTTTTTTCCCCAAAAAAAAGAAAGAAAAGATTTTCAATCATTTTGTTTAGTTAATTTTCCTTTTATATATCTTGCAGGTTCTTTGCTTATGCAAATGCTGTTGTAAGTGCCTTTTCTTTGCTGTCCTTGTTCCTTGTTTTCCTTTTCCATCGCAAAGGCTCAAATCCTGCCAACTACTTCATCTTGTTCCTCCACGATTTGGTAAGCTAAGCTCGGTTATTAAAGAGGTCTTAAGTTCGAATCTCTCCATTCAGATTCCGATTTTTTTTTTGTCCAATTATTTGTTAGACATTATGAATGATCTTTTTTTTTATATTGTTGACAGTTGATGCTGTGCTTGTTGCTTGCTGGATGCTCTGCTGCGACTGCTATAGGGTACGTGGGGCAGTATGGGAACAGCCACTCGGGTTGGGCTCCAATCTGTGATCACTTTGGAAAATTCTGTAAAAGAGGGACCAATTCTATGGTTCTCTCTTACTTGTCTGTCATTTTCTTGCTCATGCTTACCATCAGCTCGGCCACCAAGTCCAGACAGATTCTGGTTTAGATCTTCTAGTTCTGTTCTTACTGCTGTTGTTGTAGAAGAAGAAGAAGATGTTTTATTTTCACTGTGTTGTAGAAGTTGACTTGATGAAATGATGTAGATCTTTGTAAAACTTGCAATGAGTTTGCTTCCCCACACCACACATCCCACACCCCACAAAACAAAAGACAAAAGCCGAAAACGAAAACAAAAACAAAAAATCCTCATGCTGAGCCCTCTTCTGGTGGCAAGAGGCCCATATATGAGATGAGACCACCATTTGATTGCATAAATGCATATGGGCTTTAGCATTTATTTACAGGCCACAACCCAAACCTCATTTTATACAAGCAACAAAAGTCCCCAATTTAATCCTCCATTTTGAAAGCAAATCTAAAAACAGAGCTTCTGCTTATGTGTCACGAACCTTGTTTTCTCCAAAGATTCCATTAGATTAGAAGAATAAAGAATTTGAAAATGGGCCACCAAACCATGAGGCTCATCAATTAAACCTAACCACAGGCTGCACAGCTGTCTTATGTCATTCCCCCAACTAGGCACAATCCAACAAAGCAAAAGGTAACATTCTGGTCTTCTTCCCCAGAGGCTTATAGCATAAACAGGGAGTTTATTTTCTGAGTGTTTTTATATAATAACACTGCCGCCAACTAAGAACTGCGAGTGCATAATGTTTAGGTGATTGCCAACACAAAGAGTGCAAAATTGGACAGCCGATAGGACAAAAGCACATGCTCTTGATCAAATGCACATGGCTTCATAACAACAAAAACTCCACATATAGATCATCAAATACATATCTCCATGCCATGCCCACAAAGTGTAGAAAGACTCGCCTAATCCTCTAGGAAATGGCCCGGCTTTTTTGTACTTGTTCATTCCTCATTAATAAAATACTATCGCCTTTGTGTAAAAAAATAATTACCAACTTATATGGAAATCGAAAGAACACCCTTCAATTAGAAACTAAACTTGGGAACCAAGAACCAAAAATATTGGTACGTGAAAAGAAAACGGATGAATTTATGAGCGGAGGATAAGGTCATGCTGCCGGCCGTGGGGCACACCAGATTATAAGAAACTGTCATTACAGGCGTGGAACAAATTAGAGACAGTATGCAAATAATCCAGAAATAGGGTCAGGCACATGGTTCTGGGCCCACCCCTGTTTTATATTATCAAGTGACCTCCAAGTCCAAACTATCAAACTAATCAGATATTATGTAAGCAAACCTAAATCATATGCTTTGACCACAACTAGGAAATTGAGCACAGTAGGAATAAATAAGCAAAATGGATTTCTAACCGGAACAATTTTGAAGCCTTTGATCAGCAAAATGAGATTTGGAATTGGCCACAACAATGATAAATGCAATTGAAGACCAATCTAATATTCCATTTATCTTGCATATAGATTGATGAGAAATTATACAAAGTGATACAACAGTAAATTTCCTGCATCAACTACTTCACCAAAGAAAAGGAAGGAAATGAGAAAAGGTTAATCTGCCTTGTGAAGTCAATAGAAAGTAAATAAGACTCAATCTTCACTAACTGCGGTTGGCTACCTTGTGAAGTCAATGAAATTGAAAGAGTGTACAACAGAGGTATGAACTCACAATCAGGCAGCAATATAAATTATTGGATTTTGTTGAGAAAATAAAAACACCTATCCAGTTAGGTCACCAAAACTAGATACAATGCAGCTAACAAGATATCATTTTTCTACCATAATAAACGGGAATTATAAACAAAAAAAGCCAAATTAACAGTAATCACACCTATTGTACATACTGATCAATGAATCATCCTCATGTACCTATACTCTGATATGTGCCACTTTGGCATGCCTTCTTCCATTGTCAAGATCTGGAAAAAACGCCCCAAATCTTACCACGACCAAGGCTTTCCAAGAGCTTCTTAGACCCCTCTACTTCCATGTCCACAAGTTTCTGCAAACGTAGACACGCACCGGCAGCAACCATTTGCTTCCTACACTTCTTTGAATGAGCAAGGGAGGCTAGTAAAGCAACAGGGTATTTCTTATCCAAATTCTGGATAGAAGGGTCCAAAAGCTGAACTGAACTCACAATTCCACCTTCATGTTTCTTAAACAACTTTCTATTTCCGGCATATAGAATCAACGTTGACAAGGCCTTTGCAGCCGCTTCTTTCTCTTCAACGGCTTTACCATCCAACATTTTGATCAGAGGAGCAATGCAGCCACACTCACCCATCTCCTTTCTGGTTTTTGAGCAAAACCCAAGTTCATAAGCAGCCTTAGCTGCTGCAATTCTCACCCCTAATATACCACAACTCAACACCCCAACCAGCCTAGCTACAAACCCATCAGAAACCAGAACTTCCGCAATCGGGGAGCACGAAGCTAAGTGCCTCAAAAACTCAACAGCAACCTCAAGACTACGGGTGTTATTGTTCCAACAAGAGTCCCAGAAATTCCTCAAACACTCAATCCCACCTTCCTTAACAACCAAAAGCTTCAGACTTTCGCTACCAGACAACAAATGGCACAAGCACCCAATTGCATTCTCTTGGGCTAAAGCCGTCCCAGAACTGGCAAGCGCCAAAAGAACACCAACCCCATTTTCCTCCACGAAATTCTCTTGATTCTCAGAAAACCCAGCCAAATTTCTCAACACCCCAGCTGCCGAAGCTTGCGAACCGGGCGTGCCGGCCTGGCAAATGTCCAAAAGCGACGAAACCCCACCTCCAGACCCAATTGCCCGAGCGTTCTCTTTCGAAAAGCTCAGAGCTTGAAGCGCCAAACAAGCCTTTTCCTTACCAAACCCACTTCCCGAATCGAGCACACGCATCAAGTGATTCAGAAGCGACAAACCCTCAGCAATCAAAACGTGCTTGCTGCTCTCCACCATCGAAATTATCGAAATCGCGAAAACGGCGTTTTCTTTGGTCTCGAACGAGCTCGAATCGAGTAGTCGCACGAGCACGGGAACAATCCCCTGCGCCACAGCGATCATCACGTTCTTGTCGTCCTCCTGCAAAATTCCCAAAAGCGATTCCATGGCGGAGTTCCTCGACTCGCCACTCCCGATTTGAAGCCGTGTCACCAGGTTCCGACACTCGGCCCGCACGGTCTCTCTCTTGGAGGCTGAGCTGCTTACAGACGAAACGGCGGGGTCGAGGAGGACCCCGCTCTTGATCAAAATCTCGGCGTCGGTGACGTGGCGGTGGAGGCGGGCGAGGATCGAATCGACGTCGCTTTGGGTGCGGAGCTTGCCGGCGGAGAGATTGGGGGTCTGGCATTTCTGGGAGAGCGAAACGGCGTCGCCGAGGGTCTGAGAGACGGAGAGGAGGAGGTGGAGGGAGAGAGGGTGGGAGGTGAAGGTTGGAAAGTCGGCGAAGTCGGTGAGCTGGGCCTGGAGCTCCGAGAGCTTTGCTCGGATTAAGGCCCATTTGCCCTTGAAGTTTTGGATGAGCGGGATTTGTTCCACCAGTGAAGAAAGGAGCTGGCTTGAGACTGCCATTGGGTCGGTTTCTGGTTCTTTCATGGCTTTTGGCTTTTGGCTTTTGCACAGAGAAAGAAAGAGAGAGAGTGTGTGTTTGGTGTTGCTTTTTAGGGTTTACAGGAGAGAGAGAGAGAGGGAGAGAGAGCAAGTGTATGGAAGTGTTGTTGAGTAAAAGAAAAACGACGAAGCGTAGGGAGAACAGGTGCAGGCGGAGAAGAAGAAATAGTAGAGAGAGATGATGATGTGGATTTTGACTGGCCGCTTCGGCGTACACGCAACTACCAGAGCGTGGCTTTCGCGCCTTTAACGGACTTTGATTTGCCTTTACCGTTATTTATTTTCATTATATATGTCTAGTTATTTTATCAAAAAAGAAAATATTATGAGTTCACCAAAATTTATAAAAATCTGTGAATGTTGTAAAATAATCAAGATATGGGAAGAGTTTAATCTACTCTCTTTGATTAATACAACTGATAAAATTCTTTCTAAGATTTCCTCTTGTTGTTGCCGGGCTTTGGGTTTTCTTTCCTTTCTCAGTAAGCAGAGGTACGTGATACATTCGTTTAATTTTTTATTGAGACTTTCTTTTATAAACGGAGCATTACAATTTTTTTTTCTAGCATCTTAGAGCATCTCCAACCGATATATCAAAAGTGACACATAGACATTTAACGGTTAGAAATAACATTTCACATCACTCTAACCGAATTGTCAAAGCTGATGTGGAATGAAGGCTTGAGGTTCAGCTGTTATTTTTGACATCCCAAAAACAAGATGTCAAATGAATATTTTATTATTTTTTAAAGACAGTTGGTTGTAACTTTCATTTATTATTTTACTTTTTTATTATTTTTCTTCTTTATCTTAAATGATTTGACTGTTATAATAATTATTTATTTGACATATCGGGTGGAGTATAAAACTATGTAAATGTCAAATTGCCACATCAACCATCAAATTTAAATTTGATGTTTCATATTTGACCTCTCCCTTGGAGATGGTCTTAATTGTGAATGTGTAAGAAAAACTTATTCATAACTTCGGCAACAACAAAAATATATATAAAAATACAACTTTTCGATCATGGACAAATTGGAAAAGTAACAGAAAATAAAGATAACAATTAAAACCAAACCCACCATATTTATTCGTTCACTTGAGTGGCGCGCTGAGGTAGAAACGTGGAGGGAAGGCCGACGAAACCCGCCGTTTGCTTAACCACCCCGTGTAACACACGTAGATCGAAGCCACGTGGACGAGGGACAATTTAGAGTTACAGGTTGGACCGAAAAATAAGATTTTATTAATCGGGACTTGAGCCAAAACGCGGGTCCCGCTCCCTCCGGTGACCGCAAGTGGGAACCACTTTTCGTTTTTAATTATTATGACTCTCTCAAGTGACAGTTATGACAGCGAAAGTACCCAAGTCTCCTGGTCTTTCTGCGGACTCAGCCCTAACCCGCAGCGATCCCTCACCGCCACCGTCACAACCACCTCTCGACCGTTGGATTTGTATACGAATAAAAGTCAATGCGGGTCTTGACTGATGGGATTGGTTGGTGACCAAAGATTTTGAGGGATTGCTTTGACATAAGTATGTGACTTTTCGCCGGGCTAGTGTGGGCATGTACGTGGGTTTTATTACTTTTGAAAGGACCGCGTCCTCTAAAACCATAGAAAGATACTTTTACCGTTTATATATCTTTTTATTTATACTTCTCTGCCCTTTTGTATTTCTTAGTTTATTTTTTTTTAAATTAATGGAAATAAATTGATTTTCCATGCAACCCATATGTGCATTAGTAGCGTGGTCCAATCGCATTCACACAACGGTGACTCGGTCAATAATTCTAGATGCTTTAAGCACCCCAAAAAAAAGAAAAAAAAAGATATAAGAATTCTAGAAGCTTTTTATTTTTATTTTTATAGCATGGCCATAAAAGAATGCATGGATGGCAGCCAGTCAATTTCACTACGTTTAGCTAAGATATACTTTATCAGTTGACCCCAGAAAAACAAAAGAAGCTAATATATATTTTGTTTAGGCAAGTGCATGGAAATTTAATAGTTACTTATTCATGCACCTAAGTATGAATAAATATACGGACGCTAAATATAGAGACTCGTGATTCATATGTGAATATCTTAAAATTTAGACATTGATAAGTGTTGCGTGGACTTTACTTATCATGATTGGCATGTTCGAATATATATGGTTGAGGAATTATATATCAACTTGTTGTAAAGTAAAAAGATAAATAAAGAGAACAAAAGCAGAATTGGGAAATTTAAAGTACATTTTTTTTCTTTTTATTAAACTCCTTTATATAGTTAATGTTATTTATTGGCGGATCTATTAAAGCGCAAAGAGGTATAGACAGTGGCAGAGCCACTCCTGAGAGGCCATGAGTGGTCATGACCCCCCCATTTTTTTACCTCTCTCCTATATACAACTTACTAATAGATAACTGTAATTTAAATTAATGGCCCCTTAAAAAACAATTAGACATGAATAATTTTGAAAATTTTAGTTCTAACATGTATTTTGAACACTTAAATGTATTGATATACTCGTGTTTTCTACCGAGAAAGTCTTTGTAGCCCCTGCATATTGCCCTTTTCGTGGTGCACTCCAAGTGCTCAACGAATTGCCTAAACCAAGTTTTGTTGTGCTACTGCTCACAACGCCTTAAAAAAAATTAAATATTAAAAATTAAAAATAATTAAATAATTAAAAAAAACATCCTGGCCAAAACGCTTCGGAAAAAAAATAAAAGAAAGGAAAGCTGGACTATGTTTCGTGGGCTTTAACAAACATTCTAGGGGCCTGCTTAATAAATGATAAAAGGCTTTAACCTCTAGGGCTTTTAACAAGCTTTTTTTATATATTTTTTTTAACAAGGATTAAAACAACAATTGTAGGTTATTTGTAGTGCTATTCCTTTCTATAATTTATTAATGACATTGGCATTGTTTAAATTATAAGGATATTTGGTTGTCATTTTTTTAATAAAGCTTTTAGCATTTCAAAATTGCACCTCCTCTAAAAAAGTTATGAGTCAGCCTTTTCGAAAACATTTAGGCTCGAATTTTTTTTTAATATTAAAAAACCTACTAAATATTAAATAGTTACACGCTTAGAAAAAGGACTTTTGATAAGTAGTGGTACTTCTCTTCCTAATATTTTCTAAAATTCAAAACCCATCGATAAGAAAAGTAATTTGAGATATTTAGTCAAATACCAATTCTTAGCACTAAAACTATAAATAAACCATACACTATTTAATTTATATAAACATACCTACAAAATGACAGTTGGCCCTATTGAATTTAATTTTAATTATTAAATTACTTAGATGCCCCATTAAGTACGTTGGGCTTTTTTAAGAGGTTTTTGGGTTGAGTTTGTTTTAAGAAATCAATGACAGCTTTGTAATTTAAAACAAGTTAAAAGCCTTTTTGTTATGTTGTAAATGGGTTTTGAGTGTGTTTCTAAAGTCTATTTAATATAGAGTTTTTATTATTATTTATAATTTGGACTCTTATATTGGGTATTATAGTGAATCTCCTAAGTAATTTCCCCCATTCAATATGACGGTGTCCTGAAACAAAAAATATATCGTTCTCACAGAAATACAGTGATGGATTTGGTAGGCCTAGGTATGATATGAAAAGCAATGAAGACATGCGCACAGGACAAATCCAGTAGTTGAATTTCAATTCAAGCACCAGTGATGCAAGTTGAAGTTGAAGCCAATTTTTGACCTGGGTCGCTTGCCGTCAAGGCCTTTTATTTTCTTTTTCACTTACTTAATATTATTATTATCATTTATGTCTCTCAAAAATATTTTTTTTAGTACAAAACGATCATTTAATCTACTAGAAAAGGAGAATTTCTCACACACACAACACAGCTATGATGCTATGGGGGATTTCCATTAAGCTAGACCCCGTTGGCCTAAAAAATGCTATTTGATAAGAAAATACTTGTCTTATTTCCTGGAAGTAGAAACTGAAAATAGAAGCTCATACTTTTCTGTCAATCATAATTTGACATACATGTAGAGATTTTTCATTTGATATTAATTTTTTATATATGTATTAAATTGTAATTTGCATAAAGTATGAATGCATCCTTCCAGAGAAAGAAACAGTGTCCCGATAGATTAGATATTATCTGGAACCAGAAAATGGGTGTGCTAACAAGAATCAAATCAACCCAAGACACATCCACCATGCCACGTACACAAGTATTCTTGTTAATGCCTATGGAAGGGAGAAGAAGAACAAAAACCAAATAAAGTTGAAGGCAAGTGAGTTTGATGGGACTACTTGTTGTCGGGCTACTTAGCTTTTTTAAGCAACAAGCTTGGAATCATGCACAGAAATCAGAAATGCCATCTGCTTAGGATCCAGCAATTGAAATGCAAACAAACATGATGCGAGAAAGAAAGAACATGCATTTTTTCAAAGTCAAACAGAACAAAAACCAAAGGTTTTGGGTGATTAAATTGGAAAGAATTGACATTATTTTCTTCCCTTTTTGGGTGGGAATATATGGCATGTTGGTTGATCTTGCTATCTTGACAATGGCAAGTGATGAGATGGATCATACAAGGAGGTATGTCACCTCTCATATGGTCAAACCCTAAAAATCCCATCTTTTATATATTCTAAGATCATTTAGGATGAAAGATGTTTTGATTGCTCAATCAAGGTCAAAACAATTTCCTTTTCATAGCATTTTCTTTTGCAGTGATAAGAATGTCAATGGGGAAATTGGAAATACAGTGGGTTGGATGGATGGCTACATATGATCAAAGAGATATGACTCAAACAACGTGTATTCGATTTCACCCTCCTTCCTATTTTATCGCTCGTATCAATTCGAGATTATGGAGTTTGGATCTTTTGATAAAAAGAAATTAAAGGGCTTATTAATAAGTTGTCTTTTGATATTACTGAAAGTGAAAGGTCAAATGAACAGTGCTGAAGAGATTAAGTGCAAGTCGCTTCAATATATTCTAATTTGAAGAGCT